TGGAACGTCCCCGCTGGCGCCAGTATAGATATCGATGGGCCCAAAGGCTGCGCGAGTAGCCAAAACAAAAACTACGCCGTGAGAAGGGGGCAAAGCGTCGCGAGGCACCGGGGCAACATCCTCCGCTTCTGTGCTCCCTGTTCCTCCGCAGACAACGCGTTGGCGCGGGCCCTCGCGCCTTCGCAAATTGTCGCCGCGGCTGGAGCCGGCCAAACTCCTGGGCCGCATCGGGGCCGACCTGCGCGCGCGGAGACCGAGGCCCGAGGTCTGGCTCGCGAGAGGCAACCCGGCAACCCGTAATCCACGATTATGCCGTCTCTCGCCTGAGCGGCTCGGGCCGATGGAGCGCCTGCGGGGGGCGCGCTCTGATGGCACCCCGAAGAGCGGATGGGGCCCCGCCCCCCTGCCCCAGGCGCCGCCGGACCGCCCCGCCTGCCAGCCGACGGCCAACGCGCCGCTGCACCTGAGAAGGTGATCGAGACAACGTTGCCGTCGACATCCCGCAACTCCCAACGCGCTGTGCGAGGCGATCTAGCAGCAGGCGGGGCGGCGCCAAGAGCAGCGCGAGCGAGCGCATCTCGAGGCGAATAGATTGCCGGGGCCCCCTTGCCATGGGGCGTTTACGGGCGCGCATTCCACGGGCAGCTTTCCAAGTTGGACGCGGGCCCCGTGCGCTGGGCCGAACTCCGAGCTCGGGGGTTCAATCTGCGCCCTCCCCCAGGGGTAGCAGGCGCCGAACTGCGGGCTGTCACTAACTGCACAGCCTTTCAAACAAGTTGCGAACTGCTGGGCGGTAGATCCCACGGCCACCTGCATGGCCTTAAACATGGCCACCGCCTGAATGTTGCCCACTTGTCTAGCAATGTCGTCCACGTTGGTCCGCTGCGATGGGTCGATGGCCATGAAGGGCGCCTGCTCAAATCCAGAAGACAAGAAAGCAGAAGGAAGGGCCGCGCCAGTTGAGATGTCGAGCAGCAGCGTCTCGGCGGAGCCTGGCTCGGCAGAGGAAGCAAGTGGGAGAAATGCTACGGCTTTTTCCGAGCGGCAGGGGAGGGGGGGGGGGCGTCGGGCCCGCGCCCTGCCCCCCCCCCCCCCCCCCCCCCCCCCCGCCCGCAAGCGCGAGCGCGCCCTGCAGCGCGGGCGCCGTATAAATTTGGCGGCGGAAGCACGCGGGCGGGCATTGCAGCGGCCTGCCCGAAGTCCAATTGCGAAGCGATTCGAAATAGTCCCAGCTGCGTGGCGTTATCCTCGGCCTCCCCCTGCCGTGCTGACAACTGGTCACAATAATGCTGAAACGTTGAAATAATGGCATGTTGATCCTCGAGCATGCGCTGTGAGCATCGGGCGCCCCGCCGGCGTCACGGAGTCACTGCTGCGATTGTCCGAGCAAGGGTGGGTGCTTCTAGCTGCACAACGGAAACATCCTGACACGTGCTGGGCGCTTCCGAAAAGAGGGGCAAACCCACTGCAATTTCCACATAATCAATCAAACTTCGCCGCGCTTGCTTCGCTGGCCTCTCCAAGTGGATTCTGCTATAGCTCGCTGGCGCCAGGGAGTGGGAGCGGGCACTTGCCCGAATCAGCACGCGGGGGGTGCAGCTTGAAAGGTCGAGGAGCCATCGCACGCGCCGGCTTGGGACCGCCCCCACCCCTGGACCATCGCACGCGCCTCGGCCCCCGCTCGGGGAGGGGTCCCCGCGTGGCGCCCCTGTGCAACATCCAGCGTGGAGGCTTCCTGCTTGCCTGGGGAAGAGAGTTTGGCGCTCCTGTCCCTGCTCCTTCAGACACGTTTCCAGGGGGCGCTGGCATCGTGCCCGCGCCGACGGCCAGTGCTGCCATGTGATCGTGCGTGGGCATGCCTCGAATATGAAACTTACATTGCGAAGGTTTGCCAGCTATTCTGCGGTCCTGAGGTACACTGTTGCTGGACCCTTGCCAAGACGCAGGAAGCAAATGGGGCAGGGGAAATCGAAAATAGTGTTGGCACGGCCACACCGAAGGCAAAACCAGTGCGCCTGAGGCCACTTGCCCTCGCGACGCTGTGGAAGCAAAGGGGGGGATTAATCGGCTGGGAGGCACGTGGCGTAGAGCGCATGGAGGGGGGAGGAACGGCCATGCGATTATTCGTGACGCCGGACGTCGTAGGAACAGGTTATTGCGGGCGTTGGTGCTGGAAGGGCTGGGGGGAGGCGTGATGTTCCTCGATCGCCATGTGAGCTTTGTGAACCCTGAGAAAACATATGGCTCCTGCGCGTTTGGCCAGCTACTTGCGGTGCCAAGAATTATCGAAGTTTGGCCCGTGTTGGGCCGAAGTGCAGAGAATGCTGGTGCAATGTCGGTGCGGGCATGAGCCGTTTGGACCGCACCTACGAACAGGGGGAGAGAGGAGAGACGGGGGCTGGGTTGGCTTGGGTTTCGGCGGCCACCCGCACGCCGCAGCAATAGTCTGGCGCACGCCCCCGCGCAAATTGGTCACTGGTCACGCGCCTCCCCTCCTGACGGGGCCCGCAGATTCCCCTCTGTCTCACACGCACTCTCTCTCTCTCTCTCTGTCGTGGGCGTTCTCCTATTCGGCGTTTCGGCATTGGGCGGAAGTGGGGGGGGGAGGGAGGGGGTTTTGGCTCCGGACCTCTGCTCAGCGCGAGTGTTTGCAGCAGTGCGTCCTACGGGGGAAACTCACCTGCTTGAAACAGGCGCCAAAAACCGCCAAAATCTACCCCATGGGGGTGAAGGGGGGGTGCGAAAGCCGACGCCGATCGGCAAAACAATGAGTAAGAAAACGCTCTCCTCTCTCTCTCTCTCTCTTTCTCTCTCTCTCTCTCTCTCTTCCCCTCTCAAGGCCAAGGCTGACTGAAAACCACGGAGGGGACAAAACAGGCTCGGTGGGACACCGCCCGCCCGCACGAGACAGCGAGCTCTCTCGGGCTTGGGAAGGCCTTTGGGCCGTGCACACACGGCACCCCCACGAAACCCCAGCTGGCCTCCACAGGCTCCCCCGAGTGGTCCCGCCTGCCCTCCACTTGCGTCAGGTGGCCCCAGCTGGCCCCGACTTGCTTCAACTGGGCCCACCTGGCCTCAACCGCCCCAGCGGTGGTCCCAGCTAGCCTCAACCAGCCCCCCGAGGAGCCCCAGCTGCCCTCAACAGCCCCCCCGTGTAGCTGAGGGCGGTCTCGATACCTCTAAGTCGGGCACCTCCCTGTTCAGGGGGCATACCCCAAAAGAGCAGAACAAAATCCGTCGACAGTTTTAAGATAATGTTTGAATATGTGTTGGCAATGTGATATTTTTCTCTCAAAATCCGCCTGCAGGAGGACATGCCCGACTCAACAATACTCAAGGGGCCCAAGGACACACAAAAAAATACACACAAATAGCATGATTCCCCATATTTTCCCATATTTTCTGGGTTTTCGTCTTCCCGCCCAATTCCTATATTTTCCTATATTTTCCTGGGAGTCGACGAATAATTGTGTCTGTGTGTTTATTTCCCTCCTGATTAACAATGCCTCGACCCTGGGGCATGGGGCACCCAGTGGACGCAGCCGCAGGCGGCGCCGGGGCGTGGAAGCCGTCCCGGTCTGCTCGGGGTGGGGCCCGCGGAGGCCGGCCGGGACCACCCGGGAGGCAAGCTGAGGCCGTGGGCCACCTCGGGGGGCTGACTACCTACCAGACCACCCCAACCAAACCCGAAGACCCGAATTTCGGGTTGGGGGGGGTATGGGTTTCATACGTGTTTTTTCGATGTTCCCCGACCCCCCCCCCCCACTGGAAATGGAGGTTGGGCCTTCGGGTTGGGTTGGGGTGGTTTGGTAGGTGGTGAGTTGAGGCCGGCGTGGTCCACCTCGGGGGGCTGTGCAACATCGGCCAGCAGCGAAGCGGGAAGCCGGATGGGATCGGAATGCGCATCGAGCTGGGCCGCATCCGCCGGGGGAGGAGGAGGAGGAGGAGGAGGAGGAGGAGGATGAGGATGAGGAGGAGGAGGAGGAGGAGGAAGAGGAAGGAGTCGGAATCCAGTCTACTCGGCTGCGGCAGAATCACCAGCAGCGCCGTGCAAGCATCGGCCCGCAGCGGCTCGTCGTGCCCGCCCGAGCGAATCGGATCGATCGGACCGGTTTTCCAGCGAAGCAAACAACCTGCACGGACCAAAAGAATGCCTGATTTTTTTCCAAATCGGAACGTGGTTCGCAGGCAAGACATACAGCGCACGTCTACGAATTGAACGACCGCGCTGGAGCATTGCATTGACAGCCCTGGCATGCGCCATCCAAGCGCGTTTCTTCTCTTCCTCCCATCGGGGACGGCTCGGGACGCAGGGGGGCGAGGGGAAAGGAAGGGGAGGAGGGGGAGAGCGAGCAAGGAGACAGAGGCGTCGATCAGATCGACATGGATCCTGCTGCCTCTGCACGACCCGAGCCCATCCCACTCAGGCGGCGACATCCGAAACCAGCCCCCACCAACCGCCGGTCATCCTTGCACTGAGGGCCCGACCACATGACACCTTCCGCAAGAAACCCAACCCTGAGACCCCAGGACGTCCATCGATTTCTGGCGCGGGAGCGTCGCGCAATCCATCGCAGAGCCATCGGAACCCAAGAAAGCCAGGGCACCCTGGAGGCAAGCAGGGTGTTTCTTGGCATGAGCCGCCACTGCAATCGATGGGGGTGGTGGGGACGGTAGAAATCGGACTTCGCAACGTGCTCGTCGAGCTCCGAACCCTACCGCCGCCACCCATCGCCGTCGTCGTCGTCGCCGTCGCCGTCGCCGTCGCCGTTGCCGTCGCCGTCGCCGTCGTCGCCGTCGTCGCCGTCGTCGCCGTCGTCGCCGTCGCCGTGGCCGTCGCCGTCGTCGCCGTCGTCGTCGTCGTCGTCGTCGTCGTCGTCGTCGTCGGTCCCCTGCCAGTCCCTCTTGGTGTCGGGTTGCCGCTCGGCGACCGTCGGGTTCGGAGCTCGCCGCCGAAAACTCGGGCCGCAGGGCCCGCCCCCCCCCCCTCCGCGGGCGTCCAGGAGGGTGCGGCCCCCTTCCGCCAGCTGCGACCTGCGCCGCAGGCGCGGCAAGCTGCCGCCCGCCGCCTCGGGCGCCAGCATCGCGGAAAGCGGCGCGGCGGCTATCCTGGGCCGCAGGCGTGGAGGGGGGGGGGGGACGGACAAGCAACGAGGGAGGAGAGGCAGTGGGCACCCGTCCTCCTCCTCCTCCCCTTCCTCATCCTGCCCCTCCTCGTCCTTCTTCTCCTTCTCCTCCTCCTCCTCCTCCTCCTCATCCAACTCCTCCGCCTGCGATCCCCCCGCCAATATCCCTCTCCTCCTCCTCCTCCTCCTCCTCCTCCTCCTCCTCCTCCTCCTCCTCCTCCTCCCCCTCCCCCCTCCTCCTCCTCCTCCTCCTCCTCTCCCTCCTCCTCCTCTTCTCTTCTCCTCCACCCCTCCTCCCCGTCCCCGTCCCCTCCCCCTCCTCCTCCTCTCATCTCCTCTCGTTCCTCCTCCTCCCTTTCCCCTCCTCCACCTCCTTCCTCCTCCCCCTCCCCCTCCTCCTCCTCCTCGTCCTTTTCATGTTCCTCCTCCTTCTCTTCCTCCTCCTCCTCCTCCTCCTCCTCCTCCGCCTCCTCCTCCTCAAGCACTGAAACACTGGCGGTTGATGTGTCCGTCCGACGCAGCCATCCTCCCCCAGGGGGGTTCTCGCCCCTGGGGGGATTCGAACTAGATGCCAGCAATAAGAAGCAAGACGACGACAAACAGACCCCCTGGCAACGGGGGGGGGGGCCGGGGGGCGAAGAAGGGAGGCACACGCATCAAAGCGAAAAAAAGGAAGTGTGGAGGTGGTAAACGCGGTGGTGCCGTTGGTGTTGTTCCCTGAATCCTTGTTCTGGTAGGTGTCGGGATGCTCAGGTGCCCATGGTGCAGCCCATGTGTCGTCCTTCCACTTCTTCAAACACTCGGCAATCGCAAGTGCTGTAGGTCGCGTGGGTTGGCCTCTGCTCGGCGTTCGGCCCGACGCTGGTCGCCACGATGCAGCCATTGTTGGAACTTGCGGTGGATGTCGCGGTAGCTGTTGTGCATTGTGATGCGCTTGCAGAAATTATATCGATTTGTGTAGGCGCAGTAGAACTCGAGCGTCAGCACGCTGCCGACGGAGCCGTTTGTGACAAGCAAGTAATATACTTGTTCCCCACGCGACAAAATTGGGTTGTTAGATTTCAAGAACAGGCCCACCCGGTCAAACCCACCCTGCATACCGCGGACGCCAGACCCAAATTTCTCCAATGTCCCGAATATCCTGGGTGTCCCGCCTCGCGCCCGGCCAACCCCACCCTGCATACCGCGGCCGCCAGACCCCAAATTAGTATCCCGAGTACCCCGTGTGTCCCGCCTCGCGCCCGGCCAACCCCACCCTGCATACTGCGGCCGCCAGACTCTAAATGGCCCGAGTGTGCCGAATATCCCGGGTGTCCTGCCTCGCGCCCAACCGACCTCACCCCGCATACCGCGGCCACCAGACCCCAAGTTGTCCCGATGATCCTGGCTCGCTCCCACGACGAACACGAAAGAACACAACATAACATAACATAACCGAACATAACATAACACATCTTGACATAACATATCAAATCATGCCACAACATCACATAACCTATCTTAACACGACAGCAGATCATAGCGACGACGAAAACGACATAACACAACATGGCACAACCCAGCATGCCATAATCACACTAGCATGACACACCATGACATACCATAGCATATCTGCAATGACAACATAAAGCACACGATACATCACATAACAAACCAGGGCAGAAGATGGCACGCCATAGTACGACATAACACAACCTAACATGTCATAACATAACACACCTAGAAATAACATGTCATATCATGACACCGCATCAGCAACTACATCACACAGCGACAGCATCGCATAGCGACACATACTAGCAGAGCAGATCATACTATACCATACAGAACAAGCTCGTCAACAAACACAGCATCACAGACAATACCAGAGCAGAACATGGCAGAATGGTAGACGACAAAACACAGTATGCAAGAGAACATAACCGCGCATAGCATACCATACTCTGACAGAACAGATCATTCAATCACACCGAAACACAGACCACATCATAACACAGCAGCAGACCACAAGGACGACGAACACGACAGAACACAATACGACACTACATGACAGAACATAACACGAGCACGACAGAACAGAACATAGTAATGCCATCAGAGCAAAACTGTAGAGCATGACATAATAGAGCATAACATAACACTGCATAACAAATGGCATGACACAATAGAGCATAACAGAGCATCACAGAGTACACCAGAGCACAACATGACGGAACAGAAGACGGCAGAACACACTACAAGAGAACATAACCGAGCATACCATAACACATTGACATAACATATCATCCCATGACACAACATCACAAACCATATCATACCACGACAACAAGGCATGGAGACACATACTAACAGAACACGTCATCATACTCTGTACGGAGCCGAGCCGACAACAAACAGGACATCACATAACATGCCAGAGCAGACCATGGCATAACAGAAGCCAGAATACCACAACAAAATATAACATCACCAAGCATAACATAGCACATCTCCTCAAACGTAATAATCCGAGCTGCCAACGACATCACATACCATAATATAATCTACTGAGCCGAGCTGTCAATTCCATCCCGGAACAAAGCATACTAGAACACAACCTGGCATAACACATCATGCCATAAGATTGTGCCACATAGCAAACCATGCCGTAACATCTCAACACATATGCTGACAGAGATGAGCATGCCATACCATAGGCAATCAGAAACTAAACATGTAAGTGAAGAGGAACAGCATAGCAAACGACGCATCTAACGTCACAAGCGTCACGACGTCACGCCGTCCCGTCGAAAACAAATCAAGAAGACGCACTGCAACGCCACATAAAAGAACGTGACTGCATGATTGAACCGTCTTTGAATCTGGAAACGGTAAGTGCGCAATGGCAGAGAAGATTGCTACGACACAACAGGACCACAATACATACTAACATAACGCGTCATACTATACTATAATGGGCTGAACCGTGAACAACCTCACAGAACAGAGTATACTATCACGTAACCTGACAAACCATATCATGTCCTAACATGGTGCCTTAGAGCAGAGCATAACATAACATACCAACGCATATTGTGGCAAGAACGAACATGGCATAACATAGCTTAAGAAGGACTATATAAAGGAAGGGCGGAGGGATATCATAACGTACGTACCGTAGATACATGGCGGCCAAATTGGCCACAGGAACCAACAACCACAGCAATGAGCGATTCGAATATGCATCTAACGCCACAAGCGTCACGACGTCACGCCCGCCCGTCGATATCATAACATCACGGAACACAGCGTCACAGACTACTTTGGGCAGAACCCTACCACACAGACACACACGCTCACAACATCAACTCTGCAATAGCCAACACTCCACGGCGTCGCCCACGCGTCACGACGTCACGCCGGCCAGTCGAGGTCAAAACATAACAGGGCACAATAAAGCATCACATCGTAGAACGTTACTCAATTCAACATTGTGGAAGTGGCATGCGTCGCGGCGTCACGCTGGCCCATCGAGGTTACAACACCGCAGAACACGGTACCAAATACTACAACAGGACAGGATCCAACCAAACACAATATATCACAACGCCGCCTGTACAGTAGCCACCACTCCACGGCGTCGCCCAAGCGTCACGACGTCTGGTTGGCCCGTCGAGAATACAACGGGACATAGCAAACTATAGCACCATAGTCCGTTACCGTATGGAACATCGTCGGACGCTTTTACATGAAGCAACTGCAATAGTGGAGACAAGTATCACAACAAACACGACATGGCAAAACACACTGAACGAACATATCCGACAATTCTGTACTGGGCTGGGCCGTCAAAGGGTGAAAATGGGGGTCGGGCGCAGGGTCCCGGCAATGGTGTCTTTACGGGCCATGCGTGGGCGATGTATATCCGATTGCTGTTCGGCGGGGAAACAAATTGAAGCTCCCCGCCTGCACCCATGCGCGAGACTTGAGGGTAAACGAAGCAAGGGGGCGGGGGGCTCGGGAAAGGCGACGAAGGCAACGCTCGCTGAGGGCAACGTGCGCTGAGGGCGCAAAAAAATGTTGGAATAAACGAAAGCGGTGAGGTGAGTGTCAAAATCTGCCCAGCCAATCTGACATGCGAAACACTGCGCCTCAGTTTTGGGGATCTTGAAAGCCAGGGCAAAATGCGACCTCACATTGTGGGAAAAGCAGCATGTGAATTCACATTTTGGGAACATGGAACATGTGAGTTCACATGTTGGAACAAAGGAATACGTGAAAGGAATTGTGCGTAATATTCTGTGTGAAGGGGCCAGAATGTGAATTCACATTTGGGGAAAAAGTTATTGTGAATTCACATTTTGGGAGAATCGCGGGATCCATTCCAAATCTGTTTTGGGGGTCGACAAACCATCGTTTGGAAACATACGCGACCATCAATCGCACAATCAAGACACACTTGCACTCCATTTCGCCGCCACACGCGCAATATGCAAAAACGCCCGCAAGCATGAACGAACGATACTGGATGGACGGCGCGTTTGCCCGCGCGGGCAAAGCGCGGGCACGAACGACTGGCCCTCCATGTCCGCCAACATTGGATGCCAATCGTACCCGACCAAATACATGAGCGATACATTGAGCATACATGGGCCATTCAGCCCCCATTGAAGACCCCCTGTTGCAGAACCCCTCTTTTACCCTCCAAACCGTCAACGGCATCACTGAACACAGCACACTGTAGCATAGCATGAGAGAACAGATCGTGTCCTAACCTGGTGCCACAAGGCAGAGCGATTCGATGACGCATATAACGTGACAAGCGTCACGACGCCATGCCGGCCCGTCGAGATCAGCACATCACAGAACACAGCATCACATATTGCCTTGCGGCAGATTCCAATCAAGCGCGCTATAGCACAACGCCACGTGTGCAGTGGCCACCACTCCACGGCCACGGCCCTGGCATCACGATGTCACGCCGGCCGGTCGAGGTCGGAACAC